ACTCGTTCATTTCATTCATTAAATGAACCAAATGACACGAAAAAAGATTTGTTCATTTTGATGAACGAGTTCGAACAGGAGAGTCACGAACACTCATCACAGAACAGAGCAAGGCGAACATTTGTGCTTATAAAACTTAAACTTTGTTATTTATTTTTTAAATGAGCAATCGTTTTGCTTGATAAGACCCTTATTCATCGTCTGGAATCATTTAAAGCCCTTTGAACAGTTTGCACTGAAACTGTCTTTTGGACCGTGAACCGTTTGGACCCCATTGAAGTCCATTATATGGAGAAAAATCCTGGAATGTTTTCATCAAAAACCTTAATTTCTTTTCGACTGAAGAAAGAAAGACATGGACATCTTGGATGACATGGGGGTGAGTAAATTATCAGCAAAAGTTTTTTTAAAAGCGAACTACTCCTTTAATACTGTGTTGTTGTTTTGTGATGGTTGTTCTTGAGTCTCTCGTTTGTCCTGAACAGTTAAACTGCCCAATGCTCTTCAGAAAAATCCTCCAGGTCCTGAAAAATCTTCAGTTTTCCTGCAACTTTTGCATATATGAACCCTTGACAGCAGTGAATGTATGATTTTGAGATTCCTCTTTCAAACAGGGTACACACACTTTTGAACAGGGTCATTTTTATAGATTCAGCACCTGTTGTCTATATGTAAACATCTTTTATTAATATCTTATTCAGGACACTACTAAAAAAAAAAAAAAAAAATTAGTATTTTGTATGATCCCTCTTATATTGTTAAACACTTTCACCGAAAGGAGTTCACAAACTTTCAAGCACCATTGTACGTGTATGTATATAAATATATATATATATATATGTGTGTGTGTGTATAAAGCTTGCAATCAAAGAATGTGCATTTGTACATTGTTTAAATCGTTTTTAATGATGCAATCATTTACAAATGTTTTTTTCCTATGGTCTCTTAGTGAACTTATGGCTCAGAAACTACGCAAACTCAATATACCCGTCACAATCGTGCTCGATGCTGCAGTCGGGTAAGTGTCTTAGTTTTGTTTTTGCATTTAATTCCTGTACGACAGTAAATGATATCTGCAACTTGTTTTTGTGTGATTGTAGGTACATCATGGAGAAGGTAGACCTGGTAATTGTGGGCGCTGAGGGTGTTGTGGAGAGTGGCGGTGTTATAAACAAGGTCAGAAATACACACACACACACACACACACACTTGTAGTCTTGATGTTTGCAGTTGTATTTAAGGCCGGACACTACTGGGAAATCTTATTATGAGATGTAAAAGTAAGCCGTTTTCTGTGAATGTGCGAGACTTCCTATTCGGAAATAACTTAGAAGAAAGTAAACGGTAAAACTGTTTGCACTGCAAGTCAGTGTGTGTTAATAATTACGACAATACATTCAAATAACATGGTAAGAAACACCAGTTTGATGTATCAAGCAGCATAAGGAGCTGTTTTGTTCAAAGAGGATGAGACCGGACGCCTCGACACGTTCAATTTACTAACGTTGCATTTTTCGTGTAAATGTACATTAAGACAACTATATTGCATAACAAGTTTTCTGAGATGTTGTGTAAATATGCAAATGAGTCATCATCTAATTAAATATGCACTCATTTGCATACACGTCCAGAACACAAACCTGAACATTGGATAAAAACAAGTTCACAATTCTACTCGCTTGATTTGGTTGACGTATCCAAAACTTCATACATCAGAAAATACTCTCAACAGACAATAATAAATCATGTTTTTAGCAATTGCATATCATAAACTGTCAAACCCCTCTGTGAAACGTTTAGAATAATGTTTGCTGTGTTTAAGAACTGCTAAAGTGGAGATTTCTGACTGAACTTTGCGATTTTAAAACGTATTTTAAAGGTAATTTACAGATAAATGGGTGTTTTATTTCCACTAGTCTAGAAAAAAAAGGCCAAAATCTCTTAATTGACCAGTGCCTAATGAAACAACGGTTTTGCCTTGTGTATTGCCTTAAAAAAATGCATTTATTTCTTACCATTCATTCCTTATTTTGATCAAACTATTCATTCCTTCATGTCCTAGATTGGCACCTATCAGATGGCTGTGTGTTCGAAGGCGCACAACAAACCATTTTATGTGGTGGCAGAAAGTTTTAAGTTTGTGCGGCTCTACCCTCTTAACCAGCAAGACGTACCCGATAGATTCAAGGTAATGCCGCATAATTACGAGATGACGATATGTGACGTTGAAGCTGTTCACGTCTTCGGATTGAGAGTTATTCCTTTCAATGTTATCAACACCTAAAATGAATCTGCAGGGGTCACATGGTGCAAGTTTGAGCTCTCACAAAATTCCCAGTTCACAAGTCGTAATTCCCAGTTCTACGAAGTTGGAATCTCGTAATTACGACAGACCTTTAAGGAGTAGTTCACTTTCAAATGACAATTAGCCCATGTTTACTCGCCCTCAACCATCCTGGGTGTACATGACTGTCCTGGCTCTTCCAAGCTTTATAACGGCAGTGGATCGCAACCAACAGATTAAAGCTCAAAAACGTGCATCTATCCGTCATAAACAAACTCTACACGGCTCCAGGCCTTCCGAAGCAAAGTCGTGCATTTGTGTAAGAAAAATATTCAGATTTACTTTATAAAGTGAAATAACTATTGTAACGTTGCAGTGGGAGTTTACATGAGTTGTGTGACGCTTTCTCCGGTGTGTGTAAAGTCTCAGTGTGGCCGTGTACCATGAGTGATCGCTCTTGTGTTCGAACACACACAAGCAATTCTTCTTGCAATCTGAAACATCACCGCTAGAGGACGCTAAAAACTACATATAGCACCTTTAAGTGTAAAGCGCAACTTATGCAACGCACTGCTGATATTTACACTACACCATAACACAAATACGCTACTTCCGACGTCATAAGTTGCGCTTTGTACACAAGTAGACTCGTGTTTGGCTGGAAGCTTGAATTTTACTTTGTAACATGTTAACCCTCTGATGGTCTTCGTTTAGGAGTCAAGTCCTGAGCCTTCCCAGTTAGAAGTGACCGGACACCTAAAAATTAAACTTCCTCCATCCCAGTAAAAACCAATGCAATTCACTTTTGTTCTATAATATTTATTCATTTTAATTTTAGTATTTTGAGACAATTTGATTGAATTTATTGATATTTAAGCTATATTTATGGTCTATTTCTGCCATAGAAAAAAAAAATATATATATTTTCTTTTAAGTATTAATGCAGTATTTTAGTTTAATATAGAGTCTAGGCCTTCAGAAAAAAATATTTTTGTAGAACATTAGCACCATCTGGTTACAGTGTAGAGAAAAGGCATAGAATCATGGTGTAACCACTAGATGGCATGTACAGCTCTCTATGGAGAGGCATGTGAATTCCCCAGCTGTTTATGAACACATTTACTTTTTGTGGATTTGAATATATATTTGAAACAATCTCAAAAACAATTTCTTATTAAGTTTTAGATTTTTTTTTTTTTTTTAAATAATCAAAGTTAGTTTTTGCATTATAATTACAGCCAAACATTGGATTAGAAAGAGAAGCGTGTTGCTATAATTTTCAGAATTTATATCAAAAATACATTCATTCAAGTATAACAATTTATGTAGAATAAAAAAAAATTAAAAATTGTGGAAAAAAATTGGTGATTTTTTTTTTTGTGTGTTTTTGTCAATTTCCCATTCATTTCCTATGGGGGTCATTTTTGACCGAAGACCAAAATTTTGACTAATTTTTTTACGACCACTTAGCATGCTCAGATCATGAACTCATTTTTTTTTTGTGTGTTCACATCCCTAATGGCAGAAATGTCACCACATTTCGTAACATTCAGATGAAGTTGTGATTTTTTTTTTTTTTGTATAAAAATTTGTGTGTGTGAATTTTTTGCACTCTTGATGTTGTAGAGTGTCACCCCTTTACTGTGGTGTACTTTCTTTTCGAATCGTGGCCGATTTGTAGATTGTACAGACAAAAATTCAGAGAATTTTAGTTTTTTTGTAAATTCCCATTCATTTCCTTTGGGTCGGTCATTTTTGACCGAAGACCACGAGTGTGACTATTTTTTTTTTACGACCACTTAGCATACTCGGATCATGACTTCATTTTTTATAAATATATTCACATACCAAATGCCAGAAAAGTCACCAAGTATCATAACCTTCCGATGAAGCTGTGATTTTTTTAAAATTCAAAACATAAAATTATTCGGTCAGAAGTGACCGAGGACCATCAGAGGGTTAAATATGATATGTTCGTTTATGACGGATAGATGCATGCTTTTGAGCTTCAAACTGTTGGTTGCGATCCACTTCCATTATAATAAAGAAAGTCATGTACACCATGGGCCAATCTTCATTTTAGTTTAAACAGAGCTCCACTTATTATACATAAACAGGTCCATAATATCTCTTTCAGTATAAAGCAGATATCCTGAAAACAGTGGACCTCAGCCAGGAGCACCCGCTGATCGACTACACCCCTCCATCCCTCATCACGTTACTCTTCACGGACCTCGGGGTGCTGACGCCCTCGGCCGTCAGCGACGAGCTCATCAAGCTGTACCTGTGATCAGCACGAGTGGAACGAGTTCAGATGCACCCATGAGTTTAAGATTAAATTATCTGGTTGAAATCATTTTCATGTGCCCTTCATCATTTAGAAAACTCATATGCTGGATTTATGGTTACATCTATTTTAAACCACTCCCTACATTTACACATCATTCGAAACTTGTTCTGCCCAGTCATGCATGCTGAGGTAATGAGGATAAACCAAGATCTCAGAGCTATGAATATTATAATAGGGATGCACAATATATCGGCCACCATATCGATAAGAAAGTTTGGCTGATAATATTAAAGCCAATAAAAGACACTTCAGATGCGCATTGTTCAACATGATGGTTTTAAATTACTTGAAATATGATTGAAATCACTTTAAAAAAAAAAAAATACAGTTCAGAGCAACAAGTCTGTCATATCGGCTATATACAATTAAAATGAGAACATTATAAATGTGTGCTTGAGTCATGATGGGACTCAAATTATATATAAAAAATTATTTATTAGCCAATATATCAGTCATTAGTTTTCAAATAAACAGAATTATCAGTTAATGGTATCAGCCAAAGTTTTCATATCGGTGTATCCCTAATTTATAAGGTATAATACTTGCGTTTTAATAATATCTTGAGGCGATTTTAAGCATAGTAGTTTACTTCATTGAATTCAATTTAGTCCTTTCAATAAACAAGTGCTAATATAAAGCCAACATATATAGCCTATATTTATATATGTGTGTGTGTGTGTGTATATAGACTTTAAATGCATTCAAAAAGAAGTTTTGAGCCAGTTAAGGCAAGCTGGCTAACCGACTACACTTACAGTATCTGTCGACACAAATCTTGTTCAAAAACGTACATAAATGAGTATCGTAATGGGCAAGACATCCTCGTGATCATTCAAGATGATCTGAACGATAGCATCGGGAGTTGAACTATACAAAACATAAGCGTTTGGGCTCATGCGGAGACGAAAGACGCTCATCTGAACGGCAATAGCTGCTTTACGGTACGTTTTCCTCAGGATGGTCCATGAGAGACTTTATCCAGCTGGTTCCGTTGATCAGTTTGGTGGTTGCGATAATGTACTCAGTCCCACTATCCTCCATGTTGGATAAGAAGCGCAGAGCAGCGATTTCAGCGTAAGTCACACCGCCGAGGAAGAACACCAGGGTGGTGCGGTTCTCTCCTGGCTGACCTACAAATGAAAGAGCAATCAACAATAATCTAGAGAAGTATTAATCTTGTATTTGGGTCAAAAATGGGCACCCCTAGAAATGAATGGGAAAAACTGTAATTTCGAGCATTCTGAAATAAGCCAAAATAAGACAGCAAAGTCACTTCATCTTTAGGTTTCAGCTCTAAGAACTTAGTGGAATGATATTTTATGTAGTTAAAAAAATATAACATAAAATAAGCATAATTTACATAAAAAACATGGTACTTTTTGAGGTAAATCAATTCAAAAATACCCACAAAATAAATAAAAACACCATAAATGGATAGACAAAACTTTATCGAAGACAGTGATATAACATTTATAATAAATAAAAATTAGGATCACACCTGAATCCACAATTACAGGATTATGGGCTATAAAGTGAATACGGTTTGAGGGCTACAATGTGTTATTTATATATAAAATAAACATACAGTATATACACACACAAATATTTCTTAAATATATACATGCATGTTCTACACAGCACACACACATTTATTATGTAGACACAAACTTTTATTTTGTATGCGCTTAATCATTGCCCAGCACTATCGTAATGCTTTTAATCGCATTTAGCAGATCACAGCTGGGTGGTAATTACATTTTGCAATGATAAAAGTATATCGCTTTATATGAGTGTACTGTATGTATGTGGATAAAGTTGGACATATTTATACATGCAACTTTATATAAAGGGATGGGAGATCATGCAGCCGAGATTCACCATATATTCAATTCATTTCACGTTTTTTTGTATAGCGCTTTTCACAATACACATCATTTTAAAGCAGACAAATTACAATAGAGTGATGTATTTCAGAAATAGACCCCAGTTATTAAAAAAAAATAATAATTTAAACAATGTAATAATTTAATGCCGATACAATGAGCTCGTTGACGTACTGAATACTTCTTTGTTAATAAATGATTGACGTTTAGAAAATATAGCATCTTGGTATTTATGGCTTACAGATCTGAAATGAGCGTCTTTGCACACACTAAATGATCTGATGCTCATCCAGTGAAATATCAACTGATTTGACCGAGTTCTTGTCATATTTTATTACCATTTTCTAAACTATCGCGAATAAACTGTGATAATGTGAGAAATGTTGAAGATATCAGAATATATTTCGATCTTAATGCCTTGTAGAAGATTAGAGCTGGGCGATAATATAGTCACATTTTGCAAAAATAAAAGCAATCAAGCATATATCACTTTACATGAATGTACTTTATGTGCGTGGATAAAGTTAGACATACTTTGCATTATCTCCCATATTTTTATATAAAGTTGCATGTTTACTTTTTCCATGCAGCCGAGATTCGCCATATATAGCTTGGTCAAGACTTTAATGGGTTACTGATCTAAAAAGACCATCTTCTAAATTTTTCACTCTATTAAAGCATAAAAACACCATATGTTTGCATATATTGAGGAAACATGCTAAGTTCACACTCGTTTCTCAAAAAAAACACTTCTATAGCCAGTTATTTAACTTAGAAAAGTACGTTTACGGCTGGAATGTGTGTTATTGTTTTGGTCTGTGATACTGCTCGATGCTAATTTGCCTGTTTTCATTGTCCATTGCGCTCGTTCCTGTTGCGTGTCTCAAACTGTCGACCCGTGTGAGCGTCGAGTCTGAGGCGGCGGTGGGAGAAACCACGATCTCTAATATTTTGAATTGGACAGCAGTACCTATTCCGACCACTAGTTGTCATTCTTGCAGACTGCACCTTTAATAATGTGATACTCATCACTTACGCTTCTTGTGAAGGCCCGTGGGAACCTGCTGTCGTTCCTCAAAGTGTGGTCCGGGCAGCATCTTCAGCACCTCCTCGATGCTCCTCCAGCCGGGCCGGGCCAGGACCTGAGTCAGACGCACACTGAGCGGGGCGTAGCCGCTGTACACGTACGATATGTCGTTCGGGTTCTGAGGGACGGTGAACAGTCACATTAGCATGAGCAACACAGACGGCTTTGCAAGAGCCACCGTCATCTAGGGATTGAAAGGGCTATAAACAATACACTTTTTAAAAATAAATTGATTTGTTCATATATCATCACATCAGGCAAACACATATAAAATAATGTGTACTGAGAGATACCTACACATTGTGTGTGTGCGTATATGACTTAAAAACCCAAATAACAACTTATAAATTTGTTTCTTTTGTAACATTTCCAAACTTTTGACATGATATATATATATATATATATATATATATATATATATATATAGTACCAGTCAAAAGTTTGGAAACATTTCAAAAGAAACAACTTTATAAGTAAATAGTATTTTTATTGTTCTTTAAAGTCTTCTTCTGCTCATCAAGCCATTAAGTTATTTAGTTTAAATTACATCTGTTTGTTTGTGCCTGAAAATAGTATATTAGCTCAACTTTTGAGTTCAAGGAGTAGTTTATTTTTAAAAAAAAACTTTTGCTGATAATTTACTCACCCCCATGTCATCCAAGATGTCCATGTCTTTCTTTCTTCAGTCGAAAAGAAATTAAGGTTTTTGATGAAAACATTCCAGCATTTTTCTCCATATAATGGACTTCAATGGGAACCAAATGAGAGTTTCAGTACAAACTGCAAACTGTTCAAAGGGCTTTATACGATTCCTTTATACGAATCTTTTTCCGAGTCAATTCGTTCGTTGAATGAACCAAATGATTCGGAAAAGATTTGTTTATTTTGATGAACGAGATCGAACAGGAGTCACGAACGCTCACAGAACAGAGCAAGGCGAGCATTTGAGCTTATAAAACTTAAACTTATTTATTTTTGAAATGAGCGATCGTTTCGCTTGACAAGACCCTTATTCATCGTCTGGAATCGTTTAAAGCCCTTTGAAGCTGCACTGAAACGGTCTTTTGGATCTTGAACCGTTTGGTTCCCATTGAAGTCCATTATATGGAGAAAAATCCTGGAATGTTTTCATCAAAAACCTTAATTTCTTTTCGACTGAAGAAAGAAAGACATGGACATCTTGGATGACATGGGGGTGAGTAAATTATCAGCAAAAGTTTTTTGAAAAATGAGCTACTCCTTTAAGGTTAGGGTTAGGTTCAGCACTCAGTAAGTTATATATATATTTTCAGTTATATAAAAACACTGAACCTTATTGAAAATGAGTAGCAGGACAAACCTGTTCATTGGCGTCCTCCATCCACAGTTTGAGTGTTTTCCTGATTGTGGGGTAGTTGTTTCTCATGGCGCTTTGAGGTTTGAGTAACCCAACCTTTTCCAAGTTCTTGACGGTCAGAATGTGCTCGTATCCATACGTCTAAACCAACAAATCACAAACATGTCAATTGTCTTAACGGCCTTAATGTGATTGATTATCGAGCCACATGTGATCCAACCGTTAACCGTTATGCAAATAAAAGTGAGTGGTACCTGAAGGATCTCCTTCTTATAGTAGTCGAGGACTTTCTGTTTGAGGCCGTTGTTGCAGACGGACTGCATGCACACCAGTCGCAGGATCTTGATCAGCGGGTCTTTCTGTGCAATGCAGTCTTCTATATACGTGCTGACCTGAGAGGGAAATCACACACGATCATATCAGTGACGAGAAACACATGAAAACAAACCTGAAATATATTCACAGTTCACAGTGGATTAAAACAAAGTACAATATTCATTATTTCATTATTTTCAGTTCGAACAATAATGAGTGCAGAGATATTTATCGTATTTATACTAATAATGATTTGGATAAAAGTCACCATGAAATCAAAATCTTTATGGAATATTGTGGTATTTATTATAAATTTATCTGTGCATATTATTACTGTTTTAAAATCATGTTCCTGGTAATCATGAATCAGAATAACTTCCTCTTGAAGCGTCGCGCCTTCTCTTCTCTGATGAAGGGGGCGGGGCAACCTGTCACTCACACGAGATCCACCAATAGAAAACCATCAATTTCCCACCGCAAAAATCAAGCCCCGCCCACATCCGTTCTTGTTCCAGAAGCCGTTTCACTAGGATCACTGATTTCAACTGAATATCGACTGTTTACTGTTGTCTTTTTACAGCAGAACTGAATCCTGCTCGTTTCGTGTCTTAGGCCATCAATGTGTACTTACATTCACGAGTCATTAAATCATGTTTAATTTGGACTTCTCTGTGCATGCTCTTTGAGGTGGTGACCATAGACCTCCATTATATGACTGACAGACACGAACGGTTTGACCTAAAAATATCAAAATTGAAAATACTGCTGAAACAAAGACACCTACATCTTGGATGCCCTTGAGGTAAGATAAAACATCCCAAAAATGAAAGGAGTAGTTCACTTTTGAAAAAAATTTGCTGATAATTTACTCACCCCCATGTCATCCAAGATGTCCACGTCTTTCTTTCTTCAGTCGAAAAGAAATTAAGGATTTTGATGGAAACATTCCAGGATTTTTCACCATATAATGGACTTCAATGGGGTCCAAACGGTTCAAGAAAGTGTCTTTTGGACCTTGAACCGTTTGGTTCCCATTGAAGTCCATTATATGGAGAAAAATCCTGGAATGTTCTCATCTAAAACCTTATTTTCAAAGTGAACTATCCCTTTAAAGTAAAGGTGACTAGCATTTCATGACGACTTTAAATGACACTGCCTTTATATTGAAATCATAAAGAAAACAAAGCACCTTGTCTGTGTCCACTCCAGTCATAAACTCTTGTTCAACGGTCAGACTGTCAAAGAAGGCTTCCGAGGCTGAAAAGCAGGAGACAATTCATTAATACTACATTTAATCATCTAAATAAAATCTATATTATATTTATGGGCCACTGCAAATCACATGTATAAAATATTAAATATTTTCACTTAATGATAATTCTTGGTATTATCAAAAGAATGATTATGATTAAGAATGAATGAAAAGAATGATCCACTTGACTGAATAACTTAATCACGTTAATCCTTTTAACGTGATTAAGTTAAGTTAAAGTTAAAAGTTCATTACATGAAAGGCTAGTTTCCAGCTAGTCCATGTTTCTAAATGCGTCTAGTTCGATTTCTGTTTTCACTAGTAACAGCTATATTTAATGTAAGGCCATTTATTGTGATTAGCTGGTAATTCTACATTACTAGTAAGAGCCCTCTTTAAATATTGACAAATAAATAAACATACAATGTATAACAAGAATTACATGTAAGATCTGCAAATTAATTTTAACATGTTGGATTCAGTACTTCAGACATCTACAAATGGATTAAAGATAATTTGTAAAAAGTATCATTACAGTAAAAAGTAATTTAGTATAATATTTATTTAATAAAAAAAACCCTTTTTTTTTACTTTTACTGTTATAGATTATTTATTTAAAATTAAAAATACCACCAATGAAAAACAAATTACAGTACAAATTAGAATTAAAAAAAAAGATTTTAAAAGTTATAATTAAAAGTAATAATTATTGATATCAGGAAAGGTCATTTGCGCTATAACAATGTAGTTATTGACACATTTTTTCACTAGAAAGGAGTTAATAATTAGACATGTAATTGAATTTGTGAGGTAATCAGAGAGAACTGTAACATTTCGCTATTAAAAATGCAGTCTCTCATATCAATAAAAAATCTTCCACAAATTGAACTGTATTTTCTTAAGTAGTAATTTCATTGTTAAATGTTTAGCTTCGCCATAATGGTTAAGAAACTAAATTATTTTAATTTGTGAGTTTGTTAGCTGAACTGCACATGCATTCAAATAAATATTTGCCTGTTTTTAGACTAATGATGAAAAGTGTTCATCAGAAATGAGATGCGTTAAACATTACCAGCCTGCTTTCTTGCTAAAATGCATATGATTCTCACTGAGGGACATTGTTGTCTATGCTAATTGACTTCAGAAAATTGCTTTTATTTCTGAACGTATGAATGATTGGTCTCAGACTCACTCGTTATGTCCTTGACGAGTTCAGCGATGGAGGTGTGATTAGCCAATGAGCTGCGAGCCGCCTGCATGTGAGGCAACTGCGAAACAAACTGTTTAATCTCCCCAACAGTCTTTGCATTGTGTCGTTCCTATCAGAGAAACAAGAAAACCAGCAGTTCTGCTCATCAAGGGTGCATTTATTTGCTTGAAAATACAGTAAAAACTATAAATAAATATAATAAATGAAATAATTAATGTTCAGCATCATTACTCCAGTCTTCAGAGTCACATGATCCTTCAGAAATCACTCTAATATGATGATTTCCTGCTCAATTATTAATAATTGTTCTTATTATTATCAATGTTGAAAACAGTTTTTGCTGCTTAGTTTTTGTGATAATTGTTTTTAAACAGTCAGGATTCTTTGATGAATAGAAAGATCAAAAGAACAGCATGTATTTGAAAAAAAAAAGAACATTTATAAATGTTTTTACTGTCACTTGAATCACTTGTGACTTCCTTGTTGTATTAAAGTATTTATTTCTGTTTTTTAAAAAAAGATTTGAGTTACTCCAAATGTTTAAATGGTAGCGTATTATGGTATCCACAAAAATATGAAGCAGCAGAACTGTTTTCAACATTGATAATAATCAGAAATGTTTCGTGAGCATCAGATCCTCATATTAGAGTGATTTCTGAAGGGTCATGTGACTGACGACTGGAGTAATGATGCTGGAAATCACAGGAATAAATCACATTTTAACATATATTCACACAGAAAACAATTCTTATCAATTGTAAACTGCTTTTCAAAACAATTTTGAGCAATGTATTGATTTTAAACAGTTTTTGTGACACAAAAGCAGCACAAACCTCGAATGCGGCTGATATGATCTTGGCTTTCTTGCTGAGAGCCGCACCGACGGCATTGAAGTTCTTGTCACGTATTTCGGCATAAAGCTCCTCGGCTGAGTTGAGCTGCAGTTTTTTGGGCTCAGTGGGAAGATCTTTCCCGCCTTCTCCCTGTTTCTTCTGTGCAAACTTCTCAGGAGGAAGCTTCACGTAACCTGTCAGGCAACCCAGGCATGAGCAAACGAGAGCACAATCAGTCTCTAAAGTATTTCTTTCGTGTCCAAACACGTTTTTAAATTCTTTACCATTGGTGATGCCATAGATCTCGTCGATAAGACCCTCGTATGTAAGTTGAGTGGCTAATGGTGTCAGCAAGTCCACATTACGATCCAGCAGGAGAAGTGTGTCGAACACAGGCAGGATTTGAGCATGACCTGCAAACTCTCTCTTCATCCGCAGCATCATGTTGGCCACGTGCTGAGAGACACAGCACAATGCATACAAATCAAACGATTAACATATTTTTATACATCAGTGAAATGGAAAACAAAAATGTGTTTATCAAGCTACTACAAATTAGAATGGAGGCTTGTTTCCGCCACAGAATAAAAAATTATAAATCATTTTTAATTGTGAGTTATAAATGCAGAATTATGAGTTATGAAGTCAGGATGAAAGATGGCAGAATAATGAAAATATTTTGAATTTATATCTCACATATCAGTTTAACGAGAAAAAAAGTCTGAATAATGAGTTTCTTACAATTGCAAAAAATGTCAGAATTAAGGGATATAAACTCACAATGCAAGAAAAAAGTGAGTTTATCTCTCGCAATTGAGAAAAAAAAGTCAGAATTGTGGGATATAAACTTAAAATTGGAAGAAAAAAAGTCAGAATTGTGGGATATAAACTTACAATTGCAAGAAAAAAAGTCAGAATTGTGGGATATAAACTTACAATTGCAAGAAAAGTCAGAATTGTGGGATATAAACTAACAATTGCAAGAAAAAAATCAGAATTATGGTATATAAACTTACTATTGCAAGAAAAAAAAGTCAGAATTGTGAGTTATAAACTTACAATTGCAAGAAAAAAAGTCTGAATTGTGTGATATAAACTTAAAATTGCAAGAAAAAAAGTCTGAATTGTGGGATATAAACTTACAATTGCAAGAAAAAAAGTCTGAATTGTGGGATATAAACTTACAATTGCAAGAAAACGACAGAATTGTGGGATATAAACTTACAATTGCAAGAAAAAGTCAGAATTGTGGGATATAAACTTACAATTGCAAGAAAAAACGTCAGAATTGTGAGATATAAACTTAAAATTGCAAGAAAAAAAGTCAGAATTGTGGGATATAAACTTACAATTGCAAGAAAAAGTCAGAATTGTGGGATATAAACTTACAATTGCAAGAAAAAACATCAGAATTGTGAGATATAAACTTAAAATTGCAAGAAGAAAAGTCAGAATTGTGGGATATAAACTTACAATTGCAAGAAAAAGTCAGAATTGTGAGATATAAACTTAAAATTGCAAGAAAAAATTCAGAATTGTGGGATATAAACTTACAATTGCAAGAAAAAGTCAGAATTGTGGGATATAAACTTACAATTGCAAGAAAAAAAGTCAGAATTGTGCAAGAAAAAAAGTCAGAATTGTGAGTTTATATCTCGCAATTGAGAAAAAAGTCAGAATTGTGGGATATAAACTTACAATTGCAAAAAAAAGTCAGAATTGTGGGATATAAACTTACAATTGCAAAAAAAGTCAGAATTGTGGGATATAAACTTACAATTGCAAGAAAAAAAGTCAGAATTGTGGGATATAAACTTACAATTGCAAGAAAAAAAGTCCGAATTGTGAGTTTATATCTCGCAATTGAGAACAAAAGTCAGAATTGCATAATTTTTTATTCTATGGAAACAAACTTCCATAAATATGCATCACTGAGGAAGAACAAGATGCTAGAAATGACGTTTGCGAGATTCATGGCATCAAATGTTTGAAAAGAGCAGCTAAGATAGCAAAGTTGCCACGAGAGCTTTTCTACTCACCCTTGCACACTCTCCTTTGCCAAAGATCTGCGGTATCGTCCCGTAAAGTGCTTGCAAAGTCATGAGGCCCTTGGCAGCGTGATACAGGCTTGTCTGATCATTCTCTAAATAACACTCCTTCACACACAAAAAAAAACAAGTTATATTAACAATGCTCATGGATATATCCGCTAAAACATGGTCATATCATACACTTTTATTTTTTCCCCAGAGTACAGAACATCTGGGATAGATTTACATTGGATCTCCCAAGATAAGAACATTTTTTGATGCATAATTTCTAATGATTTTTCAAAAAGTCTATGACAATCAACATCTTCTTTCCCAGAAAGTTTGATAAACTTTTGCTGTTGTAAAGTCACACATTTTAGAAGGAGACATTTTTGTAGCTTAGCTTTACTAAATCGTGTTTTTGAATATGCCGTCTAAAAAAATCTAAATAACAGAAAGTCCAACTCTGATTAAAAAAACTAATTAATAAAAGACTTATCAAGAAATAACAGACCACATTCTACATTAGAGTTTAACCAAGCCATATAATAAGTGACATTAAAACACTGTCTTACCCTGAATGAACTCTCAGACTCCATGGAAAGAAGGTCTCCATCATAAGGTATAAGGTCCAGAATGTACTCGTCGATGTTTGTGAACGAGTTGAGAACCCCTTTCTCCTTCAGACGCTGCTCACACAGGAGACTCCGGCGAGGCACAAACAGAATATGGAAATCTCGGGGCTGTAATTTATCCTCACTGCGATGCAAATATCACAAAGCATCATCAGCAAGGCAGCATTACAGGCACTGACGACTAAATGAAACTGCTATGGAAGTTATTGTGGGAGCACCTATTGTCTCAAATTGAAAATCAGCACATTTTATGTCAAGTTCATAATACACTGACTCTTTAAAAAAGTTTTTTTATGGAGAAGCTTTCTTAAAATTAAAATTTCTTCCATTTTAATAATCTCAAGAACCTTTTTTTCTACTATAAACAACCTTTTGTGAAATGGAAAGATTCAATCGGTGTTAAACCATTAAATCAAATAAGAGCCTTTATTTTTAAGTGTGATGAAATCTTTTTGTATTTGTTTAGATTCAAAATCATCCTAGGCCATTTGTTCAGTTTAATGCTGCACACTCTTGCCAAAAAAAAAAACTCAGATTCAGCAATTTCTTTATAGAAATGAGACTTACCTTGCAACATTTTCTGCAATGATGTCCATCAACTCCAACCTCGGTCGGACAAAAAAGACAATATTCTTGACGGCAGCCGACGGTATACGACCCCCTTTGAGAGTGAACATTTTCTCGACCTCATGTTCCTTTTTAATAAATTAAATTAAGACAATCACCTTCTTGACAAGGAATAAAATAATAATCAAACCATGTGAATGATAAGAAAAATGTAAAGGGCAAATGTCACAAGTGTTTTACAGTATAGACTCAGTACCGGTCAGAAGTTTGGAAACATTACTATTTTTAATGTTTTTGAAGTCTATTATCCTCATCAAGCCTACATTTATTTGATCAAAAGTACAGAAAAAATAATGGTTATTTTAAAATATTTAAAAATATAATTTATTTCTGTGATACAAAGCAGAATTTTCAGCATCATCATTACTCCAGTCTTCAGTGTCACATGATCCTTCAGAAATTGATTTATTATCAATTTATTTATCAATTTATTTTTTTAACCTATGATACTTTTTCAGGATTCTTTGACAAAAAAAGAGCTACAAAAATAACAGCATTTATTTAAAATATAAATATTTTAAATATATGTACACTAACGTTCAAAAGTTTGGGGTCAGCGATTTTTTCTTTCCTTTTTTGAAAGAAAGTATTATTTAATTTCATTTAACAATGACGTTTTATTTAACAATGATGTATTACATCGATAAAGTCATAGTAAAGGTTTATATTGTTAGAGAAGGTTTCTATTTGGAATAAATGCAGTTTTTTTTAACGTTTTGTTAATCTAAGAATCCCGAAAAAATTATAAAAATAAAAATCACATGTCAAAAAAATATATAACTGCTTCCAACATTAATAATAACTGAGTATCAAATCAGCATATTAGAATGATTTCTGAAGGATCATGTGACACTAAAGTAATGATGCTGAAAAGTGAAAATCCAGCTTTGTATCATAGAAATACATCATATTTTAAAGTATATTAAAATTGAAAACCATTATTTTAAATTGTAATAATATTTCACAATATTACAGTTCTTATATATATATATATATATATATATATAATATATATATATATATATATATATAGTGTGCACTCACTGCAGTATATGAGTATTTTTTGGTAATAGTTGTGTACAGTTTCTCACCTTCAAAAGGGAATATTGAGCAATTAACCCGAAAGGTCCAGTAAGATACTCGTCCCAAACAATGGCCTTATTAAAAACAACAACAACAGATGAATTAAAGGATGTCGACACGTTACATGTCCAATGACAGTATCGCTGAACGGTATTTGCAGTAATAATACTCGTTCAATTCAACAATAACACAGAGTGCAGTTTACATTCTGACAAGGGAAGTAGATTTGAATGAATGTTAGAGTGACAGCAGAAGAATGACTAATCTGCATGTTTATTAAAGCAAAACGCTTTACCTTGCTTCCCGAACATTTATCTAAAAATTCACGCAGGTCTTTTCGTGCAGCCTCTCTCAAAATATTTAGGTTTACTCTGCCACAAAATAAATGCGACGCCATGTTCGTTAAATCGCAATCACATGACTTTCACGGCCACACGATGTCACGTGATTTGTCTTTCAAAAAATAAAAGTAAAAGCCAGCACATGTAAATATTATTACTCCAGTTCCCCGTATATTTTTATACAATTTAATTATTTTAAAAAAATCTACATTCTATTGCAGGATTCTTTTATTTTCTCTAAAATGGATTATGTTTTTGTTATTGTTGCTGGATTAATCACTAGGACTTTTACACGCACGTCATTACTGGTTGTTGCCAGGTCCATGATTTTTGGACATTTGTTTCCATGTCATTCCGAGTTATTTGTTGTAAAAAAAAATGTTGTCAAGGGATAGATAAAAAGAGAGAATATACAAAGATTGTGAATAACTGTAGTGTTATGTAAACGCGTGGCAGTGGACTGGACTGGTATTTAAACAATTGTTCCCTGTAAAAGATCTGGCAACGTCTCTTGCAGAAGCGAACGCGTTTCTGAAGTTCGAGTTCATCATCAGTTCAAGGCAAGCGAGTAGAAAATGCTGCGCACGGTTTGCTCCCGAACTTTTCCACAAGTTTTTCGTATCTCAGCATGTCAGCATTCAACGATTCCTGCACCGAACATTCACCCAGACGTTCACTACAACAAGGTAATGCCCCAAACGCTGGGACTTTAATGCACATGGATGTTTATTTTTATGTAATATCAAATATCAATATGTTGCTAATATTCAAACTCACGTCTTAATTAAACGTATCATTACGCTGATAGTTGCGTAGCTAATATTTTCATGTTCCTTAGTTAAATGTCTCTGTCGTCGAATCGTTGCGTTTTATAGCCTCTTGCCATGTTTTCAAACCCCGCCTCCATAACGAAAGAGTCATTCCCTGTTTACCTTATCTCTCTCTATCTGTGTGAGGTGGGGTTGTTTCGCTGCAGCCTGTAGCACGATGACGTAGCTGGATGGTCCAATACGTGTTGGACCCTGTAACGCGCGCATGCGCACTAGTCAAGTCAAGTCATCTTGATTTATATATCGCTTTTTAACAATTTAGATTGTTTCAAAGCAGCTTTAATTTAATGTAACAGATTGCTTTATAGCGGTTCATGAATAATGTTATTTTACAGCTAGTTAGTTTTGATTGTGTCGAAATGATAATTTGTTATTAAATTTGACACCGTTCTCTCTAAACAGACTTTAAACGCGATCCTGTGATAAACGCTGATGGCACATGCACATTAATAATTCATAGGCCTAGTTAGTGTAGAGAGTTGGTGAACAATCGTTGATCTTCCAAGAATACATTTAAATGTGGTCACGAGCGAAGCTCTTATTTTCAGAGCTTTCAGAATAAAACTTTTTTTTTTTAATAATTGCGACTTTTTCCTAACAATTACGAGTATACTTTTCGCATACTGACTTTATTTCTCAGAATTGTAAGATATAAAGTCAGAATTGCGTGAAATAAAGCCTCAATCGCATGTTATAAAGACAGAATTAGGTGAAATAAAGCCTCAATCGCATGTTATAAAGACATAATTGCTTGAAATAAAATCGCATGTCATAAAGACATAATTGCTTGAAATAAAGCCTCATGTTATAAAGACAGAATTAGGTGAAATAAAGCCTCAATCGCATGTTATAAAGACCGAATTAGGTGAAATAAAGCCTCAATCGCATGTTATAAAGACAGAATTGGGTGAAATAAAGCCTCAATCGCATGTTATAAAGACAGAATTAGGTAAAATAAAGCCTTAATCGCATGTTATAGAGAAAGAATTGGTGAAATAAAGCCTCAATCGCATGTTATAGAGAAAGAATTGGTGAAATAAAGCCTCAATCGCATGTTATAAAGACATAATTGCTTGAAATAAAATCGCATGTCATAAAGACATAATTGCTTGAAATAAAGCCTCATGTTATAAAGACAGAATTAGGTGAAATAAAGCCTCAATCGCATGTTATAAAGACCGAATTAGGTGAAATAAAGCCTCAATCGCATGTTATAAAGACAGAATTGGGTGAAATAAAGCCTCAATCGCATGTTATAAAGACAGAATTAGGTAAAATAAAGCCTTAATCGCATGTTATAGAGAAAGAATTGGTGAAATAAAGCCTCAATCGCATGTTATAGAGAAAGAATTGGTGAAATAAAGCCTCAATCGCATGTAATAAAAGACAGAATTGCTTGAAATAGCCTAAGCCTCAATCGCATGTTATAAAGACATAATTGCGTGAAATAAAGCCTCAATCGCATGTTATAAAGACAGAATTAGGTGAAATAAAGCCTCAATCGCATGTTATAAAGACAGAATTAGGTAAAATAAAGCCTTAATCGCATGTTATAGAGAAAGAATTGGTGAAATAAAGCCTCAATCGCATGTTATAGAGAAAGAATTGGTGAAATAAAGCCTCAATCGCATGTTTTAAAGACAGAATTGCGTGAAATAAAGTCGCAATTGTGTACTATAAAGTCAGAATTCTGACCTTTTTTCTCGCAATTCTGAATGTATAACATGCGAGTTTATTATTACAAGATTTATTTTCCCCATGCTGTTATTATTTTAGCATTTCCTTACTTATTCATCAATAATTACTTATAATTATTTAACAGTATTATACTACACACTTTGAACTTCATCTCAGTACAATATCGAGCTTATCACTTAAAACCAATGCATTCGAATTACAATCAGAGATCGGCACTGCGCATGCGTAAATGACGTCACCAAAACACACATCCATCCACTACGTATTGGACCGTCCAGCTACGTCATCGTGCTACAGACTGCAGCGAGGACCTCTTGTCTTTTTGTGGCAGGAATTGATGTACTTTGCTGCTAGTGAAATGCAGTATCTTTTTTTTTTTTAAGTAAATATTGAGCTTGTACATCATTCATCAACTATTGGTTGGGACAAATAATTTCATTATAATTTAGGGATGTTAAAAAGTGCAGCTCTTTTTTTCAATGAATTAAAGTTAGAATTGTCTACCTTTTTTTTAAAGTGAATTTTACATTAAAAATCTTACATAAAAAAAATTTACATAAAAAAACATATCCTCCAAAACTGCGCAAATGTGTAGTAAAAAGTTAAACATTAATGAGTATTAATAATATAATAATGTCATTAAAAATATCAATCATTAAAAACATTAATAATATATTTAATGAGTAATAATACATTTATTACAACATCACACTTTAAGATGAATGTGATGTTGATGCAGATATTAGAGAATAGACTGAGTGAGAATAATATCGCTGTATAATATAACCGAATGATTTAACTAGTTGAGCAAAGATGCAATGCAATTATAAATAATATCTGATGTTTTTGTTAACATTTATTTTGAAGATTTCACATTGTGTGGCTTTACGTTTTAAGGCTACAGTAAAAAAAAAAATGCAGTGCACAGGAATACACTTGCAACTAATGGAAATCGTTTTTCAAAACACTTATCATAGAATTAACTGATGATGCATCACAAGTTATCGCATTTCCTCCATATCATCCTTAGTTTTAGCTGTCATAATTTACTCCCCCAGTGCCATCATGTATATATTTGCTCTATAATATTTTTATACACTGATTTGCAATGTGAAAATAATGACAGTAAAAGTTGAATTTATCACTTTTTAAATGCAAGAGTATGTTAATGTGCCTCTTTTTTTTCTTTGCAGATTTTCATTAACAATGAGTGGCACGATGCGGAAAGCAAGAAAACCTTTCCGACCATCAATCCTGCTACTGGTGAAGTTATCTGCCAAGTCGCAGAGGGGGATAAGGTAGATGTTTAAATTATTACATTTATATTGAAAGAATAATAAATGTCTTAAACCAACTGGTTTGCTGGTCTTGGCTAAAATAAGGTCATGTCAGGTTAAACCGGCTGAACATCAAGATTTTTTTCTCTCTATACAATGCAGTGGAGCAACATGATCACTTTGTGTGAGGAATAGACCTAAATGTTTTTAATTCACTTTGCATTTTTTGCACTATGCTGATGTTTTGACTGTACTGAGTTCAGTCAGTGTGCGGCCAGCCTCCTCCTTGCTCGTTTTAGTCTATATTTCTCTCATGTTTGTCGTTTTGCTTGCAGGCAGATGTGGACAAAGCGGTCAAGGCTGCCAAACAGGCCTTTAAGCTGGGCTCTCCCTGGAGACGCATGGATGCATCGGACCGCGGGCTGCTCTTGAGCCGATTAGCAGACTGCATAGAGAGGGATTCTGCCTATTTAGCTGTGAGTCTCTCAGACGACCTTTTCCCTGAATGCTGCCGTGTAGACTTTGAGCTGATCTAGTCTATGCATTAAAGCATATTTGTAGTATGCTTCTGGCCAAAGGTCTCACTTTTATGAATTATACAATTCACATCTGCCTTTCAGGAGGATGTAAATTGGATTTTAAATATTTACATACATATATACACATACATTATATATATATATATATATATATATATATGAAGAGTTCAGATGCAAAAGCCTCTAAGTGGCAAAGTGGCAATTTTCTTCTAGAATGATCATTTTTATCAAGCTTGTATATTTAAGTTCAGTGATTTCACTTAAATGGCAATGATAATTACCTATTAATTGTTATTTAAGTGAAATTACTGAACTTAACCCTTGTGCATCAATTTAAAAAAGTTACACATAGGTAAAAAGAGGACAAAAATGTCCATGTCAAAAACCTGTCATAAAAACGTGACTCTTTGGAGCACAGACTTAAGTTTGGTATCATTTTAAAGAAGACCCTTTGCAGATTATTGCTGAAGTAAAAAAATAATAATAAGTAAATCCAAAAAAAAGTTATATAGGTATAAGTTTATGAAAATTATTTTATAAAAAATATATTTTTTTTTAAATCAGGTTGAACTCAAAACTGCAATAAAATCAAAGCCATAAATCTAAATAGGTTGTGTTCCAAATTTTAGGATGATATCTCAAAAAATGAGCTTTCAGTAACAGTTTGTTTGGGCGTATTAACATATTTTCCCCATTGGGTCCCCACAAAACCCCACTGGAGCTCACAGTGATTGGATTTGA